TAACTTAGTAAATAATTATTTTATTCTTTTTTTTAAGATTTATTTATTTATGCATACAAGAGCTGGGCTACAGATGAGAGGTGTGGGGGGTGAGAGGATTCACCAGAGACAGAGTGGGGCACTGAACATGTAAACTGACTGAAATACACTGCTGAGGGGAGCTGCGGGCGAGTCAGGAGAGGTCTGCTGTGCCATGTGGGTTGCTCCCTGGCTGGGGATGGAGCTCTTGCTGCAATGGCTGTGGATAGCTTCATAGGTTGTGTCTTAACCCCTTGCACCACCAGGGAAGCCCAATTATTTTATTTTTGAGTAATAAAATCAATTGAAAATGCCATTTAAGTTTTTACCTTGTAATAATTTCTCAAGAAATAAAGCTTACAAATTCATCACATTTATAGAGAAAATTGAGCAATATTACTTATCAGATACACTTAACTATTTTAATGTAATTTGACCTTTAGCTTAAATCACTTTTGCCTATGAAAATTCATTTCCATCACCTAAGAGAGAGAGAGCATTCCTCTGCTCACTGTTTAGTTACCACCAGGAAGACAGTTTAAGTGCTTGGATGGAGAATTTCCTGGGGAACAGGAGGTGGAGGGGAGTCTGCACTGGTATCTGCACTGCCCTCACCCCCCAGATTAATATTTTGTGCAGAGGCCCTACAGAGAACAGCTGAACTTTCTGTGAAAAGGAGAGATTTCCCTCCCCTGTGCACATTAAAAATTGGCCTGTCATAATGGAGAATTAGGCTATCTGTATTTTTCAGATCACTGAGACTGTTTAAATCAATATTGAGGCTTTCCTGGAAATTTCTCTGTAGAAAGTGTGTTTGATGTAAGTTCACTTCATCAGTGTGATGCTGTTTCCGTGGGTTCCAGTGATCATTACAGAGAATGGAGGAGAACCATGATGAAAGTGGAGTTAATGGCTCTATTACCTGAGTGTTTGGCAAGTTCACAGTGACTGAAAATCTAGTGAAAACCCTGCATCATCAGTTTGTGTTCAGCCAACCTTACATCGAGACAAAAAGCAGTTTAGTCAACCATGCAAAAAAAAGCGGGGGGCAACAGAATATCATGGATTGCGTTTGATCAGAAGCTTAGAATTCTCTATATTAACAGAGACTCTCACTTTTTCCATGTACTTCTCCCATTCCAATTTCCATTATTTCCATATTTACAAGGACTCTGATTTGAGGACCCTGAGGACTATTGAGAGATCATGACAGTACTGTCCAGGCTCACAGCAAAGGTCTTGATCAAGATGAGTTAAAAATTTCTTCCTTGAGGGATTGTCATGAGTTTTTCATTCACTCTGGTTGTTTTTCCATGAGATGTCATTTCCTTTCTTACACTAAGCTCTCAGTGTAAAATTGACAAGGGTTTGTTGGAAGTACAAGGACACGGTACTGAAATAATGCTGTTGATTGGGGTAAGAAGTTGGAAAACTAGGTGTAGTACTCTGTGGTTACCTCAGCTTGGGCTTTCATCTCCTTTTTCTTGCAGCCTCTGGAAGTGTGACATAGTGGCTCAGAGAAGGACTGTTCAGCACCCTGTTGTATACATTCTAGTGCCTGGAGATCCTGGGAACATGACATAACCTTTCTGTGCCTCAGTTTCCCCATCTGACAAGAAGGGTTAACAGTATACACTTCATAAGAAGAATGTAGTTGTAAAGGATTAGAAGAGTTAGTAATTCTAGTAAGGCATCTTGGTCATAGTAAGTGCTCTATAAACGCTAGTTGTCGATCATTTTGTTTCTTGCACACTCTCTCTTCCCTCTCCCCACTCATGCTAGGCTGGTAAAGACAGAGTTAGTTGCAGCAGCTGCTTATATATAAACCTGGTGTCCAAGAGAATGTAGTGTTTTTGGTTTTTTCCAGCGACCTTAGGTGTGTGGTGTTTGTGGCCACGTGGGGGTGGCACTCTGCAGCGTGTGTGCTGGCTAAGGACTCTGGAGTGAGACTCCTGGCAGCTTCTTAGGATTTGCTACTTGGCAGCTTGTGTTGACCCTCTTTATATGGGTTTACAAATATGTAAAATGGAGCCACGCTGACTTGAAACTCAGGGGTTGTTTCGGATGAAGCAGACAATGCACATACAGTCCTTAAAGGCATGAAGCCAACCTCTTAGTTATTTCCTTTAAAAAAAAAAAGATTTATTTATTTACACATACAAGAATTGGGGTACAGGCCAGGGGGGTGGGGAGTGAGAGGATTCGCCAGAGACAGAGTGGGGAACAGAACAGGCAGGTTGACTGAAGTACACTGCTGAGGGGAGCAGAAGACGAGTCAGAAAAGGTCTGCTGCACCACGTGGGTCACCTCCCTGGCTGGAGATCAAACTGGTGCTGCAGTGGCTGTGGATAGCTTATAGGTTTCATCTTAACCTCTTCCGCCACTAGGGAGGCCCATCTCTTAGTTCTTTCCATTTTCAAAAAATGCAACTGGAAAATAGAAAGTAAATACATTTCATTTCGTGTATAAGCTACCTTGCCTCTATCAATTCTCAAATGAGCTGCCTCATCACATCATCTCCCATGACTCCTCCGTTTCTTAAGTTTTCATTTAGAACCTTAACATTTAGAAACCTTAAGAAGCTTGACAGTAGTGAATGAACACAGCCCACATGCTCAGAGACTTCTGTTTTTATGACAGAAAGATTTGAGAACAATTAGACAGTGATGAGGAAAGGTGAAGGTGTTCTTCCTGCCATTACCTTGGGCATCGGGCTGAAAACTGAATAAAAACTGCAAAAAATGGATCTAACTGTGGGTCCCCAGACAAGGCTCCATCTTTGCTAACGTGGAAGTGGCCACAGTGCTGTGTCATAGCTCTGGGGACTAGTTCTTCAGGACTAGTTTCAGAGGAGACAATAAAATTAATCACCAGATACTTCTGAGAAGTGTTTGATATTTCAGTAACATTAGAGTATAGCCATCAACGCAACATAAACTGTGGAATGTGAATTATAAAATTGGGGGAAAGATTTTTTAAATAAACTCTTCAAAAGAAAAACTAATTATGTCATGAGGAAACTTTCTGGACAGGTTCAAGCTTGCACAAAATGGTGTTGTTTTAATTTTTAGAAGGGTTTTTAATTGACAAATGTGAGTATAGATTTATAAACATTGGGCATTTAGTTCCAGATCTAAGCATTAATAACAGGTTAGGTTTCCAGTTTTGCTCATTGCAAAACCTGAGAATGTCATTTTGCTTCTCATGTGCTTTTCCAGCAGTGGTCCTCATCCAGATGTAAATAGAATCTGACATGGAATTGCCTAGAATATCCACTTCTGCCATTCACAGACGATACTTGGTGGGAGCATATTTTCTAGCTAAAAAAGACTTATTACTAGGAAATATATATGTCTTTCCTATGGGTTATTTAGTAGACTATAGATTACTTGATTTTTGGTAGGTTTATTTTCAGGAGCTCTTGTGTTCCTGGATTTAGTGAGAGCTCATTGGGACATGTGAAAGCATCAACAAATAAAACCAAGAAGCAATATGAACTCAGTAAGAGAATGGAAACTTTCTTCCCAACCCCTCTGGTACACAGGCATACACACACATACATACATATACAATTTGGTGCACATGTAGGCACATCTACATATGTATTACATGTATTTCTAAATAAAAATGACAAGTGGGTTTGCAAAGTTAGCTGTATCAATTTGGGCTAGAGGAACTCTGGAGTCAATAACAGTTCACATGGGTAAAGGTATTTTCCTGTTCTTCCTTGCAATGGCAACCTGAGTTAGGAACTAAGTTTACTGTCAGAAAAGTAAATGCTTCCTAAGGCAAAACAAAGAACATAATATTCTCACTATGTTCTTTCCAACTTAGAAAACATTTGGAGTTTTGTATTCAGTCCATGAGAACCATGTTTTAAGATTAGACTGAGTCCAGAGCATCATGACAAGGCTATGAGGTCTCATTAAATGATGAATATTTTAATAAAATTCTCCTTGGGAGTGGGGGGAGAGGATATAGGCTAGTTAATGTAAATGTATGAAGGATAGTTACATGAAAGTAGAATCCAGCAACTTTTCTGTAGCTCCAGAGTGTAGAATTTTGGGGGCATTTTGAATTAATTCAAGGAAAAAATCCTCTAGTGTGGGGGAGTTCTCATAAGGCAATAGAACCATCTTAAGGCCTAGAAAATTTCCTGCAAGTGCTCTAAAAAGGGTGGTTGTTAAGCAGATTGTTCTTTCTTAGTGCTAAATAAGGGCTTAGCTAGCTACAAGGGTCCCTTCTAAATCCAAAATTTGCCTGGTTAGTCTCGGCTTGCTGGGAATGGTTACCTAAATCCCCCTTTGGCCTGTCTGCTCCCCACTCTGTAACTTTTTATTTAATTTCAGTTATTACTGAGGTATTTTTTTGAGCAGCTTTAGGTATACAGCAAAATGAGTAGGAAAGCAGAGTTCCCATATCCCAAAGCCCCACCTACCCTTCTCCCTGGCACAGAGACTCCTCCCTCCCTCTTCTACAATATTATTCACTCCAGCATTTGGTGTTGTCAGTGTTTTGGATTTTAGTCGTTCTAATAGACGTGTAGTGGGCTGACTTTTTTCTCATAATCAGATTGTTATTTCCAAATCACTCTAAAAAACACATTCTAATTTATAAACACCACAGATAATATAATGTAATGTAATATAATACAGAGCATAACATAACAACATAACATAACATGGTCATTTTCATTCAGAATCCCGATGGAGAAAGGTTTTAGAAACAAGAGAACATACAATGTTAACACTAATACTGCCAATAATAGTAATACAAATTTATTTGTGAATACTTTCTGAGCCCAGTTTGAAAAGGAGAATGTTCACAAGACAATTTTTGGTTAACTTCCATGATGAGTTGCGTTCTTGATATTGGTGGTTATCATGCATACAGCCCTTTCTGTCAAGCTGACTTTGCCTTTTGACACTTGCTGCCGATTCTTGATGAAGATCCCCCACCCCCACCCTGTGTCTTTCTTTCAGGTTTTTCAAGTCGCTTATGTCATCATCAAAGCTGCTAATGCCCCCCGACCTGGAAACTGGATTTTGGAGCGATCTCTGGATGGCACCCACTTCAGCCCCTGGCAGTATTACGCAGTTAGTGACACAGAATGCTTGACTCGTTACAATATCACGCCAAGACGGGGCCCACCAACCTACAGAGCGGATGATGAAGTGATCTGTACCTCCTATTATTCCAGACTGGTGCCACTTGAACATGGAGAGGTAACTGCCCCACACTGTGATGACCTTTTTTGGATGTTCAGAGGGCCTCTGTAAGCTGCCATCTTGAAACACTCAAAATCACCCCTCTTATTGCAGATCACAGAGATCTTTAATAGCCAGCTGTGTTTAAAGTATCACTTACTGATGTCAGCTGATAATGTCATAACCCATACATTTCAACTTACTGGTTTCTTCCCATCAAGGAGAGCCCTCAATTTTTACTCTGCTGTGATTTATTAACTCCATCACATCCTCCTCAGAGTAGGGCAAGAATATCTGTTGAAATATTAAAGAGAGGAACTAAAATGCCTCTGAAAAATACAGTTCCCACTTTTCATTGTGACTTTCTCCTCCTTGGGATTGTTGAATGCTGAGAGATGGTTGGTCAAGCATTCCCAGATAAGAGCTTGGCACTCCCAGACTCTACAGACTTTATTCATTAAAGTCTGAATGTAGTAAAGACAACCCATTCTTTTGTAGCACCTGGCTTGATGAGATAAAACTATAAAAACCCTCCCAAGTGCTCTTCACAGTGAGAACTCTGTAGCGAGGCCTACATTGTTTCAAGAGTAGAGATTAGGGCAGGCATTCCAAGGTTTTCTGGCACTTTTTCTCATTCTTCCCAGTCTGTTCATGGCATTTAGAATTTGTTCTAGAGAAGTCACAGCCTAACAATACAGGTTAATACACTCACTCTACATTGGGAGAAGCGGTCTTCTTTAAGGATTTCCAGTAACATCCGAGACCCTGGAATGGATGACTGAAGATATAGTGGGGTTATGGTGTTCTTCAGTAGTTAACAGACATTAGAAGGTTCTTCAAGAACATCATGGTCTGCTTTGATTTTAGATAGTTTCTGTAAAGATTATATCCTGAAATTAAATAATCAGACTTATCTTGTTTTGCAAATTTAAAATGGACTTTTGTTTATTTTGATATCTTTAGATCCATACATCACTCATCAATGGCAGACCAAGTGCTGATGATCTTTCACCCAAGTTGTTGGAATTTACCTCTGCAAGATATATCCGCCTTCGCTTACAGCGCATTAGAACCCTCAATGCAGATCTTATGACCCTCAGCCACCATGACCCTAAAGACCTTGATCCCATTGTCACAAGACGAGTAAGTTGATGATAGTACACTCAAATAGTGTCAAATGTTTATTTTGTTTAAGGGACATAGATATTTCTTTTTAATTGGCTTTTTCCTCCAAGGTTGGCCTATTTTCTTAAGTTATTGAAGACCATTATATATGCTTTGCTAAAAATTCCACCATTAAACTAGCTGATGGAAGATCTGAAGTCATGTTCTTAGCCCCCCTCACCCCAGCCCATCCCAAGATGCCATGAGTAGTGAAAGTAATGCTCATTGTTTCTTACATTCTAGCTTCACATCTGGTCTTCAGCATGAAAGGGTACTTTTTTTTTCCACCTAAAGGAATTTTTTTATTATTATTATTTTGGGTAGAAGAGCTAGGGTGTAGGCCACAGGTGCAGGAAGTGAGAGGATTTACCAGAGCCAGAGTGGGGAGCAGAACAGGTGGATCTACTGAAATACATAGCTAAGGGGAGCAACAGTTGAGACAGGAGAGGTCTGCTGCTCCAGGGAACGAACTCAGGCCATAGTGGTGATAGCACTGAAACTTAACGCCTAGGCCACCAGGAAGGCCCCTAAAGGAAAATTTCACAGTTTGAAATACAATTTGCATTCAGGAAAATTAACAGGTTTTAAGTGCATAGTTAAGTATACTAAGCTTGTGTGGATGAACATTTTTAAATCTCTTGAATAAACTTGAGTGGAACTACTGAGTTATAGGGTAACTGTATGTTTAATTTCTAAGAATTCACTAAGCTTTATTATATAAATTAATTGTATCATCTCCAAACAGATCAGAGAGGTGTGAGAGTTTGTGTTGGACTATACATTTTCACATATTTGAGTTGTCAGTCATTTTCAGGTCAGCTGTTTTAATGTGCATAGAATGACCTCTCTTTATGATACTAATTTGTATTTTCAGGTGACTAATGTTGAGCATGTGTTTATAGGTGTCTGATTAAAGTATTGTCCATTTCTATATTTTATTTTATATTTTTTAAACATTTATGTGTACAAGAATTGGGGTACAGGCCAGAAGTGCAGGGTGCGGGTGGTTGTGAGAGGATTCACCAGAGACAAAGTGGGGAACAGAACAAGCAGACTGACTAAAGCTGAGGGGAGCAGCAGAAGAGACAAGAGAGGTCTGCTGCACCATGTGGGTAGCTCCCTGCCCAGCCAGAGATCGAACTTGTGATACAGAGGCTGCTGACAGCTTCATAGTGCTGTGCTTAACCCCTTGTGCCACCAGGGAGGCCCAAAGTTCCCTTTTTAAGTTGGGATGTATGTGTCCTTGTTAATGTGTTGTAAAAAATCTATATATTTCATTTGCAAGTTCTTTGTCAGATCTATATGTATGTGTGTATATTTGTTGCAAATAGCTTCTCTCATCCACTTTTTTTGCCCAGTCACTTTCCTAACTAAGATGCATGTTGATGAATAAAGGTTTTAATTTTAAGTTAAATTTATATATTTTTTTCTTTTATATAGTTAATGCTTTCTATTCCCACTTTAAAAAATATTTGCTTGTTTCAAGTTTATAAAGATACTGCTCTATGCTTTCTTCTACTAGCATTTAGGTTTAGCATTTATGACTATTATCATTGCAAATTAATTTTTGAGTTTGGTATAAGATAGGGGCCAAGATTATATTTTACCCATACATGTATACAATTGTTCCATTGTCATTTTTGAAAATACTTTCCTTTCCCCTATTAAGTTGTTTGGTGTCCTGTTGGAAATCACTGAACTTTATTGTTGTGGGTCTACTAACCCTCAGTCATTTACCCATCCTTGTGCCAATAACAGACTTTCTTAATTACTTAGATACTATAACTGTTCACTTCAGTTCTTTTTCAAGATTATTTTGGCTATTCTAGGTTCATTGTGTTTCCTTAGAAATTTTAGGATTGTTCTGTTAATTTCTACCTCCCCCAAAAAATCCTGCTAAGATTTTCATTGACATTCTATTGATTCTTTAGATCAAGTTGGGAATAATTTTGGAATTGAACAATAATGAATCATCCAGTCCATGCACATGCTGCATCTCTCCATTTATCTAGGTTTTTTAATTCCTCTTGGCAAAGTTTTATTATTTGTATATCTTTTGTTGAATTTATTCTTTTTTTGAGCTTTTGAATGTTAGCATTGATAATTTGCTTTATAAACTCTATTTTCTACTTGTTCATTGCTATTATACAGAAATGCAATTCATTTTTATTGATTAATTTTTATATGTTGAATCATTTCTAAATTCACATTATTTCTAGAAGTTTTTGTACCTTTTTTTGTGTACAAAATAATGAGAGTTTAGGACCTCCCCTGGTGGCATTGTGGTTGAGCACTGGGCTGCGAAGCTGCCTGCAGCCTCTGCAGCATCGGTTTGTTCCCTGGCCACTGGTAAGGGGCCCACATGGCGCGCAGATCTCTCCTACTGTGCCCGCTGCTCCCCTCAGCAGTGTATTTCGTCAGTCTGCCTGTTCTGTTCCCCGCTCTGGCTCTGGTGAAATCTCGCACCCTCCCGTGCTTCTGACTATACCCAGTGCTTGTATAAATAAATAAATCTTTTTAAAAAATCTAAAAAAAAAAATAATGAGAGCTTAGTTTACTGTGCATTCCATATGCTTTTGATTTTTCTTACATTATTCAACAATGGGCTTCCACCTCCAGTAAAATGTGGTTGAACAGATTTTGAGAGGAAAGCTCTCAAACTTACATTGATACCTCTAGGTTTTTCATAGATGTCTTTTATTAGTCTGAAAGTATTCTCTTCTGGCTTGCTGAAAAAAAAAATATTTTTTTAAGATTTATTTATTTATTTTATACAAGAACCGGGGTACAGGCTAGATGTGCGGGAGGGTGAGAGGATTCACCAGAGACAGAGTGGGGAGCAGAACAGGCAGACTGACACTGCTGAGGGGAGCAGCGGGAGAGGCAGGAGAGACCCTCGCTGGCTTCCTGGAACAGGGACTGCGGACAGCTTCACAGCTTGGTGCTCAACCGCCTGCGCCACCAGGGGAGGCCCTTGCTGAAAATTTTTTTAATGAATGGTGTTGAATTCTGTAAAATATTTTTTTTGTGCATCTAATGAAATGATCATATAATTTTTTCTCCTTTACTTTGTTAATGTGATAATCTACATATATTAAATTTTGTGTTTTGAAATAACTGTGCCCCTGGGTCAAATTCTACATGTTCATGAGTTATTATCCACTTTATGTAGAGCTGTATTCAGTGTAGCAATATTTTTTAGGGTTTTTGGCTCAAAGGGTTTTGAATATGATAGACTTGGTTTAAGATGCAACCATGTTAAGAAATTCTTTTAGGGCCTCCCCGGTGGCGCAGCGGTTGAGCGCTGGGTTGCGAAGCTGCCCGCAGCCTCTGCAGCACCGGTTCGATTCCCCCGGCTGCTCCCCGGCCACCGGAGGAGGGTCCCGCATGGCGCGCAGACCTCTCCTGCCGCCCGCTGCTCCCCTCAGCAGTGTACTTCGGTCCTTCTGCCTGTTCTGCTCCCCACTCTGGCTCTGGTGAATTCTCTCACCCTCCCGCGCTTCTGACTGTACCCAGTGCATGTGTAAACAAAGCAAACAAACAAACAAATAAATAAATAAAAAAAAAAAAAAAAAAGAAATTCTTTTAGACTTCTTTGGTTTCTGGTGATGAGCTAACCTGAGCAGTATTTATTCTAATTGAACACAAGAATTCTTTGTGAATGAAATATAATTTTAAATGTGTATCTAATTATTTTTTAGATTACCAATAATAATAGATATTTTTTAGTTGCCAATATTTGCTGTTCACTGATATAGAAGAGATTTTAATTTTGGTTTGTAACTTTCCTTTTCCTTAGTATTACTATTCAATCAAAGACATTTCTGTTGGTGGAATGTGCATTTGTTATGGCCATGCTAGTAGCTGCCCATGGGATGAAACTACAAAGGTGAGCAAGCCTTACCATATATTTGACTGTGATGGGTCATGTTTGAGTAAAATCAAGAAAAATGTAGGGGTAATTTTTCAGATGAAATTTTTCATTCCTTGCTGTTTAGAAACTACAGTGTCAGTGTGAACATAACACGTGTGGGGAGAGCTGCAATAAGTGTTGTCCTGGATTCCATCAACATCCCTGGAGGCCTGGCACCATTTCTTCTGGTAACAGGTGTGAAAGTAAGTTCACTGAGAATTGCAAGATTATAGAGTTGTTTTCCATTCCTAAATGCTTAAGTTTATGGTGATGTAACAACTTTTGTAATTAGTACATAACTTGTTTTTTTAGATACTTAGTTAGATAGATACTAATTTAGATACTCCATTTTATACCTAAAACTGCACATTGCCTTAATACAATTTAAACTATGTGGGCCTCCCCTGGTGGCGCAGGCAGTTGAGCACAGTGCTGTGAAGCTGTCCACGGCTTCTGCAGCTTGGTTCCATCCCAGCCCGCCGGCATAGGTCCCACATGGCACAGCAGACCTCTCCTGTCGAGCCCGCTGCTCCTCTTAGCAGTGTATTTTGTCAGTCTGCCTGTTCTGTTCCCTGCTCTGTCTCTGGTGAATCCTCTCACCTTCCCACACATCGCCTGTACCCCAGTTCTTATATGTATGTATAAATAAATAAATCTTTTTAAAAAAATTTAAAAAATACAATTTAAACTATGAGGGCCTAGAAGTGTTTTTGTGGATTCGCTACTTTATCTAAGATTTCTCTACCCATATGTTAATTTAACCTTTATTAATCTGCATTTAATTTTTAAATATGCCTATTTAATATTTAATATTGTCACAAGATCCCAACATGTAACAGTGTACAAAAATACATAGTGGAAAGTTACTTCTCTACCATCTCTATCCTTCCCACTATTTTCTTCCTTCCTGAAATATGTATCCAAGTAAGACCTAGATTAACATCTTTCCATGCCAGCTTTCACATAGAATTGATACACTATGCATACCATTCTATGCATTGTTTTTATATTTGATAATATATCTTGAAAGAAAATCTGTCCATATTAACAACATAAATGGTATTTTAAAAAATAGCAGCACTGAATTCCATTAGATGGAGGTGACATGATTTAAATAGCTACCAATCTAAGCATATTATGGTAACTGGTTATTACCAGCCTTTTGTTAACACAGCCACTGGTGCAGTGGCTAGCACTGTTCAAGTCACTCAAAAGTTTGGAAGTAATTTTGCAAGATATAATACTAGAGGATGGATTGATGGGTCAGATAGGTCTGCACATGTCAAATTTTTGTATCTACTATCAATTGTTCTCCATATGATTGCCCATATGCACTTAAAATTACTTATTGTAGAATTTCAGTTTAATCTGTAGTCTTAGAGACTTACTTAGGGAAGAAAGGAATTTCTTCATATAGAATATAATATATAGATATGTGTATATATATTTATACTAATTGAGATGTTAAAATACTCTCCTAGAATGTAATTGTCACAATAAAACCAAAGACTGCTACTATGATGAAAGTGTTGCAAGTCAGAAGAGAAGTCTGAATATTGCTGGACAGTTCAAAGGAGGAGGGGTTTGCATAAATTGCCTGCAGAACACCATGGGAATCAATTGTGAAACCTGTATCAATGGATATTACAGACCACACAAAGTAAGATGAACTTCCTGTCTCCCCACTAAGGGGAAGCGACATGCCAGGCGTTAACTTCAGTGTTAGAGACTTGTTTCCTTGTGTAATATTTCATTCACAGCCTTGTTATGCCAGTAGTACTCTTCAGGCATGGATTTCCTACTCTATTTTCTTGCTCAATGTAAGATATTTGCTCACTGTTATTTAACTTGAATTTGAGGGCCCATTGACTATGTGGTCTTGGAGTTCTGTAATACTAACTCTCATTACAAAGAGTTGGTCAATAATTAAAGCAATGGTCTCTTGCCCATAAGTAATACTCAGCCAGTCCTCAGTTGACTTCATTTTTAGTTGTCACACAACTCCCCATGGTGGCGTGGTCATGGGAGACAGCAGGAAAAAGGTGACCTGGTAACAGTCGCAATGGAAAAGGATTACACTTGGGCTGATGATACTAGCTGCTGGCAGTATCCGAAAGATGTTTGGGGCTCCCTGATTTGAGCTCACCTTATCTTCCAGAGGTATTCATCCCCTATTTATACAAAATCATTGTAATAGTCACATCTTAGATAAGAAGGTGATACCTTGTCATTATCATTGTTGATATTATTGCTAAAATTGCTGTTATTTCTAGTAAGATAATCCCGGAAAACCTCTGCATTTTAGGTATCTCCTTATGAGGACAATCCTTGCCATCCCTGTGAGTGTGATCCTTTGGGATCCCTCAGTTCTGTCTGTATCAAGGATGATCTCCATTCTGACTTACACAAAGGTAAAAATGTGATTCATTTTGGTACTTGTAATTGTTTTTTGTGTTTCTAATTTGCACCTAGTGGAACTGTTTCCTTTGTGTAGAAGTTTGGTGATAGGATTCTCTCTTGATTTGATTTTTTTGTTGTTGTTCAGAAGTATTTGTCAAGCACTTACTGTGTGTCAGGCAGTTTTCCAGAACTTAGGAAAGTATACTTGAACGAGATGGTCAGGGTCCTGCTCCCAGGCAGACACTAAACAAACAAGTACATGTGTGATATCATGCCAGGTAGAGGAAAGTGCCATGGACATAAAGCAAAGTTGGATTGGAGGGAAATTGGGCATGGAGGTGGCCGTGTTGGGGTGATGAAATGACATTTGAGCAGATAATTGAGCATTTGGTGAAATGCTTCATACATGGAGCATAGTAAATACAATCGCTCTCTTTAGCTCTTAGAAGACACTCAGCAGGGTTTGCCTATTGAATCTCAAAGCAAGCAAATCCTCCAGTTAACTTTGTAAATGTCAGAATTCTTTCTCTTTCCAAAACTAGCAAATGGATTTGCAAATAGCAGAATCTCCTGAATAGGTTGCATCTGTTCAAAGACTTCTGTGACCCCATCAAATTCTCAGTCACTAGCAGCTAAAGTGGATATTGACTTATAGGAAGGAGGTGGCAACTAAGAGCCCACAGGTAATGTGGAGGGTACATTACACAATTGAATCAGTTCTTATATGCAACTGGTAATGGGATGATGATGATGAGAGTGACAATTATACCTGATTGGGTTCATTTAAAATATATGACATTTAAATATCAGCCATAGCAGAGAGAAATCATTTAACACATTTTACAGGCAAAGAAATGTGTAGAGCAGTTAAGGAAATTTGGTCAAGGTTAAAAGGTTCAGAGCTGGCAGTAAAGGCAGGAAGTACTCATTGCCCTCTGCCACTTGTGTCTGTGCTTTTTTCTTAAACAGCTTTATTTTGTAGTATAACTCACTACCATATAATTACACAGTTCAGTGACTTAAAATGTACTTGTCAGTATGTTTGGTAGGTGCATCCATCACCACAGGCTAATGTGAGAACATCTTTATCATCCACATAAAGAAACTTCTACCCATTGGCAATCACTCTCCATTTCTCCCCAACTCCTCGCCTCCCCAGCCCTAGGCAACCACTGCTTCACTTTCCCTATGAACACTTGCTTGTTCTGGACATTTCATAGAAATAGGGCCATTTAATATATGGTCTTCTGCTTTCTCTCACTTAGCACGATGTTTTCAATGTTCCTTCATGGGTAGCATCTATCAGTACTTCATTCCATTTTATGGCTGAACAATTCTCATTCTCCATTATATGAATAAACCACATCTTATATATCCATTCATTAGTTCATGAGTATTTGGGTTGTCTTGAACTTCTTGGTTATTAGTTTATTATGTATCAATAAAATGGAGCTACCAATGTATAAGGTTTTTGTGAATAAATCTATGTTGTCTTGGAGAAATACATAGAAATACATAGGGTTGGGATTGTTAACAATAACAATCATTAATTATTGTTAATTGCCATTAATTATTATTAATCAAATTGTTGATAATTATTACATGCTAATAATAACAATTCCAATTGTTACTATTAATAACTCTATAGTTTATCTTTGCAAATATCAAACTGTTTTCCAAATTTGCTGCACCATTTTACTTTCCCATCAGCCTCCATGTCTTTCATCTTCATCTTCTTTCTTCAAATCAGGGTTTGACAAACTATGGCCCATGGGCCCCATCTAGTACCCCACCTGCCTTTGCTTAAAAAAAGTGTTATTGGAACAGAGATCTATGCACTCTTATGTATGTATTACTTGTGACTGCTTTCAAGCAAAAATCACAGCATTAAGAAGTTGCTACAGGGACTCTATGGCCAAAGAGATCTGAAATTTTTAGTCTCTGTCCCTTTACAGAAAATCTTTATCAAATTATGCTTAAAATCTATTTTATTTTCTGGTCGCATCATCGCCATTCATTTCTTCCCAGGGAAATGGCCCGGTCAGTGTCCATGCAAAGAAGGTTACGCAGGAGACAAATGTGATCGCTGCCAATTTGGCTACAAGGGTTTCCCAGACTGCGTCCCCTGTGGCTGCAACATGACTGGCAGCATGAATGACGACCCCTGCTCGGAGCCTTGTCTTTGTAAGGTACATGGGCGGGTCATCTGCACATGTAAGCTCCCCTTAAGCACGCGTGAGAGAGGAGCACATCCCACTGGCCAGATGGTCAGTTCTTCAGTAAAGCAGCAAGGTTTCAGCAGAAGGCCTCTCTTCCCTCGCGCTGCCTGAGAAGCGAGGCCTCTATCCCCTCGAGTCTCAGTGCATGTCCTTGGATGAAGATGGATACCTGGTTTTCTTTAAGTGCCTCTTGGGAAATGGGCATGTATTCCAGAAGTGTTTCTGTAACTTCCTAGGAGAAACCAAAATCTGCATTTTTTGCCTTCGGCTTATTACCTCTCCTATGGCATACTTTCTCAAATTTATGTCTATACGACTGACAATAGCCTCAAATATTTAGGACAAACAATTATATAGCCCTCTTCAGATTTCAATATGTTTGAAAGATTAGCAAAACTGGGAAATTTAAAATAAAGCAGTGCTGAAGAAATCATTGAAGTGTAATGACCAAGCTCTGAGATCCTTAACCTAATTCTTGACTATAACATGAACTGGTAAATATTGAAAAATACCTGTTCTGGAAATAGTGACCTCACATTTAATTTGAGCAGCTACTTATTGATCTACTTTTCTGCATACACATTGCTTGTTAATGTCATTTTATTCTGCCTTGCTGGACACACTGGTTTCTGAAACTGATCTTTTACTCTTACTTGCAGGAGAATGTTGAAGGCAAAGAATGTGATCGCTGCAAATCAGGATTCTATAACTTGCAGGAAAGAAACCCCCAGGGCTGCACGGAGTGCTTCTGCTTCGGGGTTTCTGACGTCTGTGACAGCCTTTCTTGGTCCATCAGTCAGGTGGGAAGCACCCTCCGAGACCGGGGGTGCAGTAAATGAGCCACCACATGAGCTCTCTGGGAGCTGGGTTGTGAGACTGTGGGGTAACTTCCCTGTAACAATGTTCTCATCTGTTTGGAATGATTTTGGTGAGCATCAGAGTAGCCCACCACTGAGGTGTCACTGAAATCGCTTCCTAGTTCAGGTGTTTGTTCCCACATACATTTCCCTGTGAAAACAAAGGATGATATACATAGAATACATTTTGTTTAAATTCCTCCTGAAGGGAAATGCATGGAGTCATGGGGTCAGCAGTCACCACCCTTGCCCTGAACTTGACTCAGGCCCCAGAACATACCAGGACATGGGGTCATTCAGAATGTTCTAGCTCAACAAAGCTAGTGAGAGTGGGAAAAGAGGATGACCCAGGAATTATGAGGGCAGACAAGGTTTCCCTGTTGTTTTGGGAACAGGGAGTTCTGGAGCGATGGGTTGAATGAGGATGGCAGTGTCTGGAGAGGACTCCAAGAATACCTGTAGGGGTTAGGAAGAACCTGCAGGGTGGAGACTTGTCTGTGGTGACCAGCTCTTTCCTTCACAACCCCATCTCAGACCTGGACTCAGCACAGGAGTAGGGATGCTGTTCCGAGGTTGTTCTTTCTTTCCTCCTCCCCTCCCTTTCCATTGGGCTGGTGAGGAGTGGGAGTAGCCTGGGAAAGTTGGAGTAATTCTCATCATTACCAGAGAATGAGTATGAGTTCCTGTGGCCACCATACTGGGGTAAACCCCTGCCATCTCTGTGTAGATAACAACTTAGGAGGATGGCATCTGGAGGTTACTTTTATATACTTTTTGACATTTGGGTAAAAAGCAGATGGTGACAGTGAATGAGAAGCAGGGTTAGCAAAAGACATTGTATTTAATGCATTTGTGAAGTTCTTTGCTGTTCTTTGCTAAGATACATCCTTGGTCTTTGATTTTGCTCACCGCCTATTTAACGTTGATCTGGGTTTGGGGGAAGTGTGACCCCTTCACATGTTTTCCCTGTCCTTCGACAAGTAGAGTCCACTGTATGTTGGCTCACCCCGCACTGAGCTTTCTGGGTCCTCCTCTTCAACTATGAAGATAGTAGACCTGAACTGAGTGAAATCTAACGTGGTTTCTACTTCATTTTCTAAAATTCCTGCATTTTTTTTTTTTTTAAGGTGAAAGATATGTCTGGGTGGCTAGTCACGGACTTGATTCATCCAAGTAAGATCCCGTCCCAGCAGGCCGCGCTGGGCGGGCAGCATCAGATCAGCATCAACAACACAGTGGTCATGCAGAGGCTCACGTCCAAGTACTACTGGTCCGCTCCTGACACCTACCTTGGAAATAAGGTGCGGTCATTGCAGGAAACAGCAGCAGCTAATCATTTCCCTTGTTATCTCTACAAAGGAGCAGGTTTCTCTTCTGTGCCTTTAACCTTATCCTGCATGTTGGCCATATCAGTTAAACAAAATATTTGTATAATGTGCTTCCTTTCACTGTCCTTCATGTGAACTTTCTGACACATGATCACCCGGCAGCCTAGATGTTCCAGGTGGTGCTAGCAGCCACCTCCCCTTACTGAGGGGCTGTGATCATTTCCCTGAGATGTTCACTCTCACTCCCACCTTCCAGCTGACTGCGTTTGGAGGATTCCTGAAGTACACAGTGTCTTATGATATTCCGATGGAGTCAGTGGACGGTGACCTCATGTCTCATGCTGACGTTATCATCAAGGTGATTATTTCAAATCCTTTTGCTGTGGACCTCTGAGACTTAGTGTGGTGACAGTTATGTGTGTTTTTTAATTAAATTTATGTATTTCCTCACATCATTGTTCATTTGTGTATGGTATTTGATTTCTCCCCTCAGACGTAGTCCTCATAGTTCTCCTACCACCACAGCACCTGGATCCATCCATCACCACAGTCCCTTGTGCTCTTCCCTCCCCTGTTTTGATTTCCCTTCTTCCCCCTCCCTGTTAGATGCCTCAGATCTATGGTTAGCTTGCAAGTGTTGGCTTTGTCAAACGCATGCCATTTGCAGCAACATGGATGGAACTTGAAAGGATAATACAAATTTGCTTTTATTTTTTGATATTGAAATGAATTACAAAAATTACAAGTATATTTCCTGTTTTCAAATGTTAGGGAAATGGACTCACTTTAAGCACTCAGGCTGAGGGCCTGTCACTGCAACCCTATGAGGAATACTTCAATGTGATTAAGCTTGTGCCAGAGAACTTCCGAGATTTTAATAACAAAAGGGAGATAGATCGGGACCAGCTGATGACTGTCCTTGCCAATGTGACACATCTCTTGATCAGAGCCAACTACAACTCTGCAAAAATGGCTCTTTATAGGTATGTATTGAAAAGAGAGAAAACTTATAAGGGTAATTCTATCTTGTCTTTATTTTCAGCCTAACATATTTTACATTTATGCATATAGTATTGATATATATGTCTACTGCACAGTTTTGTTTTTTTTTTTTTTTTTTTAAATAATAAATTTTATTGTTGTATTCCCCATACAATTGCAGCCCCCCATTCTGACCCCAATCCCTCCCCTCCCGCCCCCACCCCCCTAAAAGTGTCTCTGGTTCATAGTTTTTTGTTGATTTTGATTTTCACTTTCTTATAGTTATTCGTTTTCCTGGTCCCTTATTTAAGTTTTCTAGATTCCTGCTATGAGTGAGACCATCCGGTATTTTTCTTTTTCTTTTTGGCTTATTTCGCTGAGCATGATCCCTTCCAGCGCCATCCATGTTGCTGCAAATTGCATGTGTTTATCTTTTTTGAATGCTGAGTAATATTCCATGGTATATATGGACCACATCTTCTTGATCCAGTCATCTATTTTTGGGCATTTGGGCTGTTTCCAAAGCTTAGCTATTGTAAACAGTGCTGCTATAAACATAGGGGTGCAGGTGTTCTTTGGAATTGATGTTTCTGTGTCCTTTGGGTAAATACCTAGGAGTGGAATTGCTGGATCATATGGAAGCTCTATGTTTAGTAGGTCCAGAAATCTCCACACAGCTTTCCACAGTGGTTGGACCAGTTTGCACTCCCACCAACAGTGTAGAAGAGTTCCTTTTTCTCCACCCCTCGCCAGCATTTGTTGTTGCTAGTTTTTTTAATATGTGCCATTCTCACTGGTGTAAGATGGTATCTCATGGTAGTTTTGATTTGCATTTCCCTGATGGCAAGTGATGTTGAACATTTTTTCATATGCCTGTTGGCCATTTGCATTTCCTCTTCAGAGAAGTTTCTTTTTAGCTCTTCTGCCCATTTTTTGACTGGATTATTTTCTTTGTTGTTGTTGAGTCTCATCAGCTCTTTGCAGATTTTTGTGATCAGTCCTTTATCATTAGTGTTGGGTGCAAAAATGTTCTCCCAGTTGGTGGGGTTTCTCTTTGTTTTTGTTATTGTCTCTTTTGCTGTGCAGAAGCTCTTTAATTTGATGTAGTCCCAGCTGTTTATCTTTGCCTTCACTATCACTGCTTTGGGTGATGTGTTTGTAAAGATGTCTTTGATGTGCAAATCACGTAGTGTTTCGCCTATATTTCCTTCTATATATTTTATGGTTTCAGGTCTTATGTCTAGTTCTTTAATCCATTTGAGTTGATTTTTGTGTATGGTGTGAGGTAGTGGTCAAGCTTCATTCTTTTGCATGTAGCGACCCAGTTTTCCCAGCACCATTTATTGAACAAACTTTCTTTGCTCCAATGCATAGTCTTTGCTCCTTTGTCAAAGATTTAGTTGACCATAAATCTGTGGGTTTATTTCTGGATTTTCTATTCGATTCCATTGGTCTGTATGTCTGTTCTTGTTCCAATACCATGCAGTTTTGATGATTATGGCTTTGTAGTAGAGTTTGAAGTCTGGGAGTGTAAATGCCTCCATTCCCTTCTTTTTTTTTCAGGAGAGCTTTGGCTATTCGGGGTTTTTTGTAATTCCATATGAATTTCATCAATAATTGTTCTATTTCTTTGAAGAATGACATTGAAATTTTGATTGGAATAGCGTTGAATCTGTATATTGCTTTTGGAAGGATGGCCATTTTAATAATGTTTATTCTTCCAATCCACGAGCAGGGGATGTCTCTCCATTTCTTTGTGTCTTCTTCTATTTCTTTTAACAGTGTTTATAGTTTTCTTTGTATAGGTCCTTTACCTCTTTTGTTAGATTGATTCCCAAATATTTGATTTTTTTTGTTTCAATAACAAAAGGGATGGTTTTTTTGATTTCTTCTTCTTCAGATTTATTGTTTGTGTATAGGAAGGCTACTGACTTTTGCGTGTTGATTTTGTATCCTGCCACTTTACTGAACTGATTGATGAGTTGAATTAGCTTTTCTGTGGAGTTTTTGGGGTTCTCTATGTATAATATCATATCATCTGCAAATAGTGATAGTTTGACTTCTTCTTTTCCTATTTGGATTCCTTGGATGTCTTTCTCTTGTCTTATTGCCCTGGCTAGGACTTCCAGTATTATATTGAAAAGCAGTGGTGAGAGTGGACATCCTTGTCTTGTTCCAGATCTTAATGGAATTGCTTTCAGCTTTTCACCATTGAGAATGATACTGGCTGTTGGCTTGTCATAGATGGCCTTTATGATGTTGAGGTATGTTCCTTGTATCCCAAGAATTTCAAGGGCTTTTATCATGAATGGGTGTTGCACTTTGTCGAAAGCTTTCTCAGCATCTATTGATATTATCATATGGTTTTTATATTTCTTTTTGTTGATGTGTTGGATAACGTTGATTGATTTTCGGATGTTAAACCATCCTTGTGCCCCTGGAATGAATCCTACTTGGTCGTGGTGAATTATCTTATGGATACATTGTTGGATTCTGATGGCTAAAATTTTATTGAGGATTTTTGCATCAGTGTTCATTAGGGAGATTGGCCTGTAGTTTTCCTTTTTTGTGTTGTCCTTGTTCGGTTTTGGTATTAGTGTAATGTTGGCTTCATAGAACGTGTTTGGTATTGTCCCTTCCTTCTCAATTTTTTGGAAGAGTTTGTGAAGGATAGGCACTAATTCATCTCTGAATGTTTGGTAGAATTCATTTGTAAATCCATCAGGTCCTGGGCTTTTGTTTTTGGGGAGGTTTTTAATTACCATTTCAATTTCGCTAATTGTAATTGGTCTGTTTAGGTGTTCTATTTCTTCTTTATCTAGCTTTGGGTGATTGTAGAGTTGTAGGAATTTGTCCATCTCCTCTAGATTGTTAAACTTGTTTCCATATAACTGTTCATAGTAGTTACTGATTATTCTTTTGATTTCTGCTGTGTCCGTTGTGATTTCTCCTCTTTCATTGATGATCCTGTTTATTTGTGCTTTCTCCCTTTTTTTCCTTTGTGAGCCTGGCTAGGGGTTTGTCTATTTTATTTATTTTTTCAAAGAACCAGCTCTTGGTTTCATTGATCTTTTGGATTGTTTTTTTAGTTTCAATTTCATTTATTTCTGCTTTGGTTTTTATTATTCTTTTCTTCTACTGGTTTTGGGTTTTTTGTTGTTCTTTTTCTAGATCTTTGAGCTTCGAAATTAGGTTGTTTCTTTGAGTTCTTTCTTGTTTCTTGATGTGAGCTTCTATTGCTATATATTTTCCTCTTATTACTGCTTTTGCTGCATCCCATACATTTAGGATATTGGTGTCCTCCTTGTCGTTCAATTCAAAAAATTTTTTAATTTCCTCTTTGATCTCCTCATTAGTCCAGTGGTCTTCCAGTAGTGTGGTTTTTAATCTCCATGAGGTAGGAAAGTTCCTTGCCTTCTTTTTATGGTTTATTTCTAGTTTGATGCCTTCATGGTCAGAAAAGATGGTTGATATGATTTTAATCTTGGTGTATCTGTTGATGTTTGTCTGTGCCCCAGTATGTGATCGATCCTGGAGAATGATCCGTGTGCGCTTGAGAAAAATGTGTACTCCGTTTTTTTGGGGTTTAGTGTTCTATAGATGTCTGTTAAGCCCAATTGCTCTAGGTCCTTATTTAGAGCTTTGGTTTCTTTACTTATTTTTTGTCTTGTTGATCTATCCATTGTTGATAGTGGTGTGTTGAAGTCTCCCACTACGTATGTGTTTTCTCTGATGTCTGTTTTCAGAGAGGACAACAGTTGTCTGATATATTTTGGTGCTCCTTCGTTTGGTGCATATATGTTAATGAGTGTTATTTCTTCTTGAAATATTGTCCCCTTGATCATAATGTAGTGACCATTGGGTCTCTTTTTATCTTTTTGAGTTTGAAATCTGTTTTATCTGATATAAGTATAGCTGTTCCTGCTTTCTTTTTTGGCCCATTTGCTTGTAGGATTGTTTTCCATCCTTTAACTTGAGCCTATTTTATCTTTTGTAGCTAAATGTGTTTCCTGTAGACAGCAAAAGGTTGGGTTTTGTTTCTTAATCCAGGCTGCAACTCTGTGTCTTTTATTGAAGAGTTTAGTCCATTTACATTTAGAGTTAATATTGATATGTTAACATCTGTATTTGCCATTGTGTTTGTCTTTCCTTTGATTTTATTTATTTATTCTTTTAATAACTTTTTTTTTTTTTTTGCCTTCTTTCATTGTTATTCGTCCCTCTGAGGTTCTGGCTTTAGGACTACTTGTAGTATTTTTTGGAGTGGGGTTTAGTTGCAATGAAATTCCGGAGTTTCTGTTTGTCTGGGAAGGTCCATATTCTTTCTTCAAAGAGGAAGGAGAGCTTTGCGGGATAGAGTATTCTTGGTTGGCATCTGTTTTCTTGGAGTCTGTTGACTATGTCCCTCCACTCTCTCCTTGCCCGTAGTGTTTCTTCGGAGAAGTCTGATGTCAGCCTGATTGGCTTTCCTTTGAATGTTATCTGTTTCTTCCCTCTTGCCAGCTTCATTATTTTTTCCTTGTCCTGGATTCTTGGGAGCTTTACTATTATGTGTCTTGCTGTATTTTTTCTTTCGTCGTGGAAGTTTGGTGTTCTTCTTGCTTCTTGTATATCAATTTTCAGCTCCTTCTTCTCATTTGGGAAGTTCTCTTCAATTATCTCTTTGAATATTTTCTCTGTTCCTACTTCTCTCTCCTCTCCTTCTGGTATTCCTATAACTCTTATATTTCCTTTCCTCATGGAGTCAGATAGTTCCCGAAGTCTTTCTTCATTCTTTTTCCTTCGTACTTCTCTTTCCTTTTCTGTTTTGGTTCTTTTTATTTCTGTGTCTTCAAGAGCACTTATTCGTTCTTCCATTTCATCAATTCTGCTTTCATTGCTTTTCCCAGAATTCTTTAGTTCTTCCACTAATTCTTTGATCTCCTGCATTTCTTTTACTTCCCTCTTTAGGGACTCAATTTCATTCTTCTGATCGTTGATTATTTTTCCCTTATCATTGTTT